CCTGTCTCTTGCTTTCATTCACCACCCCCTTCTTTTTGAACATTCATCTACCCGAGAGACAGCACAGCAGCAACTGGCATGTCATGACAAGCTGCCCATATTCAGAAGACCAGAATGACAGGCATTCCAAGCATGAAACTACTATTACAGATTACCATCTGCAGTGCAGTTGCTTAGTTCACAGGTATCAGTATATATAGTTAGTCAGGGAGAGAATCTTTCCAATTAACTGCTAGGTTTAAAAATCTTCTGGAGATTCTCAGAGATCCTCCATATTTAAAAACCCAATCCAAAAAATAGGCATCTGAGATGAATATACATTTTTCACATGCATAAGTACAATCAGCAAATAAATACATGAAAAAACTGCTCAACATCACTGGTTCTTCAAAAAATGCAAATTAAAAACAACACTGAGATTCCATCTTATTTCAGAAAGAAAGGCTTTCATCAAGAACTCAACCAGGAACAAATGCTGGCAAGGATTTGGAGAAAAAGGAATCCTTCTTCATTGCTGGTAGGGATGTAAATTGGCACAACCAATATGAAAATTAGCATGGAAATTCCCCCAAATAACTAAGACTAGAGGGTCTATTTGACACAGCTATTCCCCTTCTAGGTATCTTCCAAAAGAGTTAAAAGCACCATGCCACAGAGATATATGCACACCCATGTTTATAGCAGCACAATTCTAATAGCTAAATCTTGGAAACAGCCCAGATGCCCATCAATGGATGAATGGATATTAAAAAAATATGGTTTTTATATAAAAAGGATATCTTAAAAGGATAACTTTGAGACATTTTTAGGTAAATGGATGCACTTTGAGGACATAATTTTAAGTGAAATAAGTCAGACACACAACATGATATGGGAATTTTGACTGGAACTACATTAAATCTGTCTAGCAGTTTAAGAAGTATAGCCACTTTCTTCCTACCCAAGAGCAAGGAGTATCTTTCCATTACCTGACACCTTCTTCAATCTCCTTTTTCAGAGTACTGTATTTTTCAATGTAGAGGTCTTTTACATCCTTTGTTAGATTGATTCCTAGCCATTTTGAGAACATCCTATTTGCAGCTGAGAAGAATGTATATTCTTCTTTTGTTGGTTTGTTTTGGCAGAATCAGGGATTGAACTCAGGACCCTGTGCTTGCCAGGCAAGCACTTATTCTACTGAGCTATCTCCCCAGCCTGAAGAATATATATTCTGATAATGTAAAGTGGAGCAGTCTGTAAAACATCTTATTACATCCACTTGTTCAAAAGTTTTATTCAGTTCTAATATTTTATTGTTGATTTTTTGTCTAGTTTATCTGTCATTTTGTGATAGTAAGTTATTTAGATCCAACAATACAATTGTATTAGTGCTTATTTGATTTTTCATGTCTGTTAATATTTATATAGTTGGGTGCGCTGGTATTTGTCGCATATGTATTTATGATTGTTATCTCTTCCTCTTGGATTGTTTCCTTTACAAGGATGTAATGATCTTTCTTTGTCTCTTTTAATCATTCTTGGCTTGAGATTCACTTTGTCTGCAAAGTGAAAATAGAATTGCTACTCCTGCTTTTTTTTTTTTTTTTGAGTTCCTGTTTCATGGAGTATTGTTTTCCATCCTTTGACTTTCAGTCTATGAATTTCCTTTTGAGTTAAATGTATTTCTTATATG